GTGCACTCGACGTGGGCAGTTCACTCGACGTGGGCAGTTCACTCGACGTGGGCAGTGCACTCGATGTGGGCAGTGCACTCGACGTGGGCAGTGCACTCGACGTGGGCAGTGCACTCGACGTGGGCAGTTCACTCGACGTGGGCAGTTCACTCGACGTGGGCAGTTCACTCGACGTGGGCAGTTCACTCGACGTGGGCAGTGCACTCGACGTGGGCAGTTCGGTCGACGTGGGCAGTGCACTCGACGTGGGCAGTGCACTCGAAGTGGGCAGTTCACTTGATGTGGGCAGTGCACTCGACGTGGGCAGTTCACTCGACGTGGGCAGTTCACTCGACGTGGGCAGTTCACTCGATGTGGGCAGTGCACTCGACGTGGGCAGTTCAGTCGACGTGGGCAGTGCACTCGACGTGGGCAGTGCACTTGACGTGGGCAGTTCACTCGACGTGGGCAGTTCACTTGACGTGGGCAGTTCACTCGACGTGGGCAGTTCACTCGACGTGGGCAGTGCACTCGACGTGGGCAGTGCACTCGACGTGGGCAGTTCACTCGACGTGGGTAGTGCACTCGACGTAGGCAGTGCACTCGACGTGGGCAGTGTCCTCGACGTGGGCAGTGCACTAGACGTGGGTAGGGCACTGGACGTGGGCAGTGCACTCGACGTGGGCAGTGCACTAGACGTGGGCAGTGCACTAGACGTGGGTAGGGCACTGGACGTGGGCAGTGCACTCGATGTGGGCAGTCCAGTCGACGTGGGCAGTGCACTCGACGTGGGCACTGCACTCGACGTGGGCAGTTCACTCGATGTGGGCAGTGCACTCGACGTGGGCAGTGCACTTGATGTGGGCAGTGCACTCGATGTGGGCAGTCCAGTCGACGTGGGCAGTGCACTCGATGTGGGCAGTGCACTCGACGTGGGCAGTTCACTCGATGTGGGCAGTGCACTCGACGTGGGCAGTGCACTCGATGTGGGCAGTGCAGTCGACGCGGATGTGCCTAGTGAGAATGCAAAGGAAATATGGTCTTGTTGACGGCATAGTTGAGAAAAAATACAATGATATTTACAGCAAAACTGGAAGAATTGTGCTTTAGAATTGGCAGCAGTGAATGAAAATTGTTTTTATGGGTAATTCCTTGACATCTCCCCCCCCCCCCCTCTCCATCCCGTGCCATGTTTGAGCTGATCAGACCATCAATTAGCGTCAGGGTGATGCATCTTGAAACAGCCTCTTTGATGACTTGCTGCATTGCCGTGAAAGCCAAATTCCTGCCCAGAGCAAGAACATGCATCCCTGGGTGCCACAAAAACAGACACTGCATGAGCAGTAGTCACTTGAAGGCTGTATGGTTGTCATGGGCTGCCCAGTGATGTCCAGCTCTACGTCATAGTTCCTAGTGATACCAGTGGATGGTTATGCAACCGATTTTTCAGTATGTTGAATACAGTCAGACTTCGCTTAACCGCATGCATCTGTTTTCCACAAAACTATCCGGATAGGCGAGGGAACCGGAAAATCGAACACAAATACTGTCTGTATCCATGAAATATGCTGTAAATCGGTAACCAACAATTTTCTTCCGGATAGCGAGGGAGCTGGATAAAAGAGGATCGGATAAGCGAGATCCAGCATGATTTAAGTTGTCGTCCTTTGGTCCAACCCGCTAGGGTTTATCGGGTGTTAGCGGCCGTCGTGAGTTCCCTTCGGGAACGGACACGATAATTTACTTTACTTACTTACTTTGGTCCAAACACAACTTCACACGGTCGCTAACACCCGGTTAATCTAGCAGACTGTGTAAGCAACAGGCACAACGCTGTTCGTAGAGTGCAGTCATATATCAAAGGCGTACATCTCTCATCAAATTTAACACTGGCTTAAGTCTGTGAAGTCACTGAAAACGTCCACCGCCACTTGGAGTAAGAGGGCGTTCGTTTTTGATCTACAGGTCTGGGAGAAACTACTTCTTTCTTCTTTCCGTAGAAGTGTTCTGTTTTCAGTAGACTCTACTTACCTCTACCAGCCCTTCAAGATTTGAGGTTGGCAGAAGCAGGTAGAAGTTGGTAGACTGACGGCATTTCTGTACTTGTGGGACCATGTTACCTGGTTTCCAAAAACGATCGTGTATTATACTGCTTTTGCGCGTTGGTCATTATCTGACAGCCTGAAATAAAGATAAGATCTTGAACTCGGATTCATTGCTAATAACGTACCAACAATAATAAATCAAGGTTTCGCCTCGCTTTTTACGGATCGGATGGAGAGCCAATGATTAATCAGTAGAAAAGAAAAAGGACCAAGGAACGGTTGGAGTGCGCATCCAAGATGAGCTAGAGCTGTTGTTAGTTGTAGAACGTCAGTACTGTCAGTCAGTGTCCTGCAATGTTATCACATTAGCTGATTGTTTACTAACTGGTGGTGTTAGTGGTCATTATAGCATAACTTGTAGTTCCTTGGTCCTTTTTCTTCGTTTTTATCCTGGTCCTTATTATTTTATTTATTTGTTTAGCAACATCTTCGGGCACGTCAAAAGAAGGCCAGTTACCGTACTCGCGCGATTAGTGCCCCTGGGTAACTAGTTTATGATGTTCGTCACAGATGGGACAAGAGAGGGCACTATTCAAGAGAGCGCACTATTTTGTCAATGCTGGTACATTTACAGCATCCCACATAAAAACAAAGAAGGCAAAGAAAAACAGAGCCTAAAGTTTACTGTTGACTATCACGACCCCACAGAAAGGGCAATCAGAACTGCAATTTCGATCCTGAAACCACCAGTTCAATAACATAGACAGGAACATTTTAAAATAATGAACACCAAACGTGCACATACGCTTGGTTACAAGCCCCAGGGGGGGGGGGGGGGCACACTATTCAAGGGAGGTTTTTTTCACTGGCTCTTGGAGACTGGGGCACTATTCGAGATAGGGCACTATTCAAGAGAGGGCTCTGGTCGCACGAGTGCGGTAACTCTTCATGGTCCAAGAATATTTCAAGATGTGCACTGCATATATTAGGTGAGCACGATTTCTTATCGGATCGTAACATTGGTGTCCTTTGGCCGATTTCGATGATCTTGAGCCAGAGGAACAATGCTGCCCAACTCAAATTATCTTTCATTTCAACAAATAGTATAGAAGGTCGCCCCATATTTTCACTTGAGAGTGGGGAATCATGCCTTTGCGATGACGTGAGCAATCTGTGGCTGCGCGGGCCGCGAGTCAGGGACATTTTCAAGAAAAATCTCAAAATGCATGCTGAGTAAATTTAGCCGAAGTACCATAACTCCTGTCTCAAACTCAGACTACCCTCGGGATTTTCGAGCCGATAGAGGAGAAAATTCGAAAGGCAATAGACCTTTTGATTGCACAGTTCGGTCAAGAGACAACCGTGTTATGCCAGGTTGCATTTTGAAAATATCCACTGCATGCTGCCTTCTTGCTGTGGATCATAAAGGAGCTGTGGCATCATTTATGATCCACAGCAAGAAGGCAGCATTGCCTTTACCTATGGTGACGCAAAATAAAGGTAACATAACATACTGATATGGATATATCCGTACGGTGAGTCTCAAGGGGTTTATGTTTGAATGAATTAGCTAAGACAGAGGGTTAAAAGCCATACATCCTCGGTCTAAACCTTTATTTTATACACGAATTACGAGCCCAAAGATATCCTGATATTCCTGTTTCTGAAGCCCGGCTTGTTGGCAACTAGCTAACAAGGGTAACGGACACACACTGGCTGATCTAACAGAGGCGCTATTGAATGGAGTTGTTATTGTGTGCAGATTGTCAGGCTTCAATTTCTTTTTATTTGAATTTTTTGTTTGTTCTGTAAGGAAAAATTAAAGCCGTATTCAATTTCGAAAGAAAAGTTGTCAGCACCGACGCAATCCACACAGTCAAGTAAGCCAGTTAGGTAACCGAACGTTTTCGTTCCCTACTCATCATATACTTATCCATGATGAGAAGGGAACGAAAATGTTCCGTTACCAGATTGCCTTTCTTTACTGTGTGGATTGCGTCGGTGCTGACAACTTTCCTTTCGAAATTTGTTTGTTTTGTTTTTGCTTTTTCTTCAGTTGTGTCTGGCCAGTGATACCATGTTCAGTGAATGCCCATATAAGAGCGTTATTCAATCAAAAAACAACAGGCACTCACCAATGACAGGAACAGTCCTGGTTTGTGACAGGTTCTTCTCAGCATTAGCACAAGCCGGTGCCACGGTCACAGTAGGCGTGCACTTAAAGGGTGGTTGATTGATATCCACGGAGCATTTGATGCTGACGTTCACGCCAGGTGTGTAGCCACTACCGTCTAGCGCCGCAGAGCGTGTCGTCGTACACACACCTCCTGTACAATTGCTAGTATCATTGCCCGTCAATTCTACATCATCGACGAAAAGTGTGACGGTAGGTTCCGGGTACCCACGACCTGTGCAATTCACCGTGTAGAATGTCCTACTGTCGACTTCCAATGGGGTAGCGAACGATGTGATCGTTGGAAGAACTGACAGTAACAAGAAACGATTTAAAACAGACTCAGTTTTGTGGAAGCGGAAAGGTGGTTCTTGACCAGGGAGTTGTACGACTCCTTGTTCTTGACCTGCCCGGTGCGCGAACCCGTCGAATTTATTTATTTTTATTTAGTTGTGACCAGTGATTGCGCGAGTGGAAGTCAAGTGCCCGATCAAGTGCATGCATGCTTGGCTGAGCCGGCTCGCGTGCACGGTGGGGCTACAGTACAGTCATGCAAACTCCACAGTCATATTGTGTAGGAGACCACGTCGGCTATCTTTCAAACAACAATGACAGGTTTCTCCATCAACGCGGAGCGTGGGGAATGTCTTTGGCGGCTGAGAACTGTTGCATTGGCCAGCTTTTCATCGCAGCAAGCGGGAATGTGCTGGATATTGATATAGTAAACATCCGTTCATCGCGGGGGTGAGTCTGAGCTGACCCCAGGGTACGACAACTTGGTATACTAAATGTGTACAGTGTGTATGTTGAAACAAGTCGAGACATTTTTCCAATGGAATGTTGTTATTTACGTACAATATGTATCTATTGTTGCACGATTAAAGAGGTCAATATTATGAAATGTGGATTAAGTAAAAGACCGAGGCGAAGCCGAGTTCTTTTATGAGGTCCATATTTCATAACATTGACCGATTATGAGGGCAAGAACAGATTTATCATGACATAGCTTACCTAAACTGTTTCAGTTGTGTTTATAGGAAGAAAAGAATACTTGCTATTGTAATAGTACATAGTATGGACGCATGATTAATTAAACTTATGATTCATTTTGAAGCATACATGGCACTGTGACGCCGAGACCCATGGTCGGCAGAGTCCATGTATTTCATCAGCACAGCCATTAACTGACATTGTGGATAGCGCCTACCCAGTCTAAAGTGCTTTTTGTCTTTCTACATGATTTTTAGGTTTATGCTTTCTTTAAAAAAAAAATGCCGTTTACATTGGACATTACTTCTCTATAAACAGAAGTTTTCAGTTGTTACTTGTAGTATGTTCCCCAAGTTCTTTGACTGAGAATCTGGCGGACCTCGGTCTTTTACTCGGCCTATATTTCCCATACAGACCTCGTCTTGGTCAAAATCCTATACATATTTGACAGCTTAGTTAATCTGGTTCACAAAGGCTGTCCAATTCACCATGATTCTTGGCTTTACTGTTTTCGCTTTCTCCGCGTTTTGAGCTTAAATCGGAATATAAAAAGTAGCAACGATAACATCATTCTGCTCATAAGCGAAATTTGATAGCGGAATTCGATGACAACCATCGCTATGGGTCGAAAGAGAAAATTTGGCAGACAAATACTGATGTATGCCAAAGTTGTTGTCAATACAAGTTCTGTATCCACATGACCACCTTATTAGACCTGAGAGGGTTACAACATTTACTAAGAATATAGATCTACATTGCAAGACTCTTGACAAGATAACTACTGGTTCATGTGACACTCAGAAAGACTCGGCATCCTTAAGAATGTCACAGCACTCAAGGATTGGCAAGGAGTACACAAAGGAAAGTAGGGCTTTTTAGTTGCTACTTAGAGTTCCATGGCAACAACCATTCATCAGACAGCACTGGATGATGTCTGATGTTAGGTTTTTACCATGAAACTCTGAGCTAAAACAAAAACAGTCCTACTTTCTTTTGTATACTCCTTGCCTTCTGCCCTCTGCATATCACGGCATTTGAGGACTTCTGCGGGAACAATGGATCTTTTTACGTAATTGATTGGGGGTTGCGGCATGACTGGGAACACCCTTTCACTTCCAAGAATATTGTGTCTGAATTATCTACCACCATTTGTTTCTTGCTTAGAATCCTAGACCATCCTACTAAGGATCACAGTTGTGACCAGAGATAGGACTAACGTTAGGCATATTGCAGACAAGGTAGTGGGAGATAGGACTAGGCATATTGCAGACAAGGTGGTGGGAGGCTCTAAGTACCAGCTGTGCGTCAGGCGAAATTACTGGTCAGTCGGCGACACGCATTTTTCACAAAAATTTGCGTTTCACCTGCTGGGAGAGTATGCGTGTACCCGAGTCTCATCCTGAGCACGTTTTTTTCTTCATTTTTTCAGCTCCAGTACAGCTGCATTTTTCATTGCAAAGCCGTCCTCGATTGTTGTGTTCGTTGTTCAAACGAAGTGGACATTCAATCATGAAGGCAGAGGACATAGGAGCCTGATTGGAGTTTCTCGTGGCATAGGACGGCCACACAGAGACACTTTGGGATTTTCTGAATATAAAATACCGTACGCACGATGCTGAGATCAATTTGTGCGATATCAAATTGTTTGTGATCTACCACATCGAGCAGAACGGGATCCAAACACAAGCTTACCGATGGTTAGGCTGCCGACCTGACTGGACAAATGATCCCTGGCTTCACCAGACGCCAGAAGTCGGAGACCATGTCCTTTGCCGCGACGTCCATCTCCAAAAAGAACTCCATCTTCGTCGTGAAAAGGCTTGAAATACTCAATATTCAACCGAGATTCGCGGACTCGCGCTTTCTCGGATCGATTAATTTCCTGTTGGAACAGTTGCAGGGCAGCTTCCCGCCACTGTTTCAACAGGCGATGGCTCCAAAGCAAGCCTGGAACAAGCCATATCGAGGTTGCAAGCCACCCCTCTCAGCAAAAAATTCGAAGAAATTCGAAATTTCAGTGGTGGAAGATATACTATGAAGAGAATTTCAAAAAGTATGTTTCGCGGAGCGATCGCTCAACCTACGTCATTCAAACTTTGCAGGATGGTTCAGACGTACATGCTAGGCATGGAACCACAGGCGATGATGCCATAGCTGACAAATAGAGCAACACACACAGCAGATTCGTGTGCACAGATACTAAATTAGTGGACGTCGTCATCTTCTTCCCGCTGATCTCGAATATACTATGACGTGCTATTTCGCCTGACGCTCAATTCCCCTTTGAACTATTGCATGGCATTTAATATTGATTTTACTTGATCTTAGCTTTCCCATGTCCCCTGAATCTGTCCAGCTAGCCCTTACTTCTAGCCACTATCAGTATTATTGTTCTTTTATTCCACGATGGTGTGACGCCAATAAGGACGATTGATAAGTGTGATAGAACTGGTACTAGCCAGAAACAGCTAGATGGAAATTAACCGGGGAGGCAAGAAGGAATGGATCATGAAAAACAAGTGGGGGCAATAACGTTAGCAGGGGTGATCGAGATAGTTAAAGGGGAACTGTCACCAAAATTTTTCTTTGTCTTATCTTGTAGTTCTTTAGCTCCTGATCACGATGGTGTTATTCGTTTTTCTCTGCGATGACTGGAAGTGGGTGAAAACTTGAAAAGAAGGTCCCCAAAATTGTCCCGAAGTACCCAGTGACGTCACGCCGGACTTGACCTCCGCGCGTACATTCATCGTCAAAAACGAAGTCCAGCCCGTGTGCTGGTCGATCGAGCCAACTGTTCGATGTACGGTGCACGCTTGCCTTCTGAACTCGGACACTGATGTGTACGTTGTCCACAATGAGAACGCCAAAAAGGGACAAAACAAACAAAAGTCGACAGAAGTTTGTCGCACTGGTACTTTCTCGACGAAGCTCCAGCTCTTTGTTTTATTTGTGATTACGAAGGAGTGGAAGGATGTTTGTTTGCTGTTAGTGTGAAACACATACCTCGTACTTGAAAATTATGTCGTTGTATCGAAGGTGGCGGCGTTGCCCACTCGGCTCTGAAATGAAATACGTCGGAGTTTGTCATCTGCATCTTGAGCAACATCGCAAGATGAATCGCCTTCACGTAGCTACATTGCGTTCCTTCGGGGCTCGGGTTGGTGGTGTTATCGCCGGCCGGAGGAGTACTGTTTTTTGCATACGCGCTCATCATCGTGTTGTTCCTCACACGAAAAGTTCAAAACAACGACGTACTTCCGTGCTCACAAAATAAGTCTTAGATCCTCGCGGAAGAAGTCAAAAAGGTGAAAGCTCAGCTGCGTTTTATTTTGATTTGGCTGTGTAGCTGCACGTGGGTCTCTGCCTCTTTGGCATTCTCATTGTGTACAACGTACACATCAGTGTCCGAGTTCAGAAGGCAAGCGTGCACCGTACATTGAACAGTTGGCTCGATCGACCAGCACATGGGCTGAACTTCGTTTTTGACGACGAATGTACGCGTGGAGGTCAAGTCCGGCGTGACGTCACTCGGTACTTGGGGACAATTTTGGGCACGTTCTTTTCAAGTTTTCACCCACTTCCAGCCATCGCCAAGAAAAACGGATAACACCATCGTGATCAGGAGCCAAGGAACTACAAGATAAGACAAAGAAAATTTTTGGTGACAGTTCCCCTTTAAGTACACGTTCGAGATATCAGAAACCCGGGGGGGGGGGGGGGATGCGCGGACCAGGAACAGGTACTGCTAAAAAAAGACTGGATGCATTGTTTCAGAAAGAATTTCTACGAGGTTAGGTTGTGATGTCGATAGGGAGTGAGTTGTAGAGGGTGAGGGCACTGTTGATGGGGGAATCTCGGTGCCTGTTTGTGTGTGCGTGTCCGATGGACTAGGTCCTTGTCTGTCGAAGGGTATATGGTTGGTGTTGACGTTGTGGTGCAAGATGTGGTTGTTGCAGGTGTGGTGGGGAGGTTTGGTGGTGGATGTCCCATGCTAGTAGGACTTGTTTAACAAGGAGTCGCGAGCTAAGGGTGGGAAGCTTTGCGTGATGGAGGAGGGAACTGTGGTGAACTGGTGCAAAGAGGGGAATCCGAAGGCAGATGCGTACAGCACGGCGTTGAATTCTCTCCAGTGTGTCCTGCTGTTGCTGAGTGGCGTTGAAGAGGGCAAGGCTGCCATATTCAAGAACGGGTCGGATGTAGGTCGAGTATATTAAAGATAGGCTGGAAGCGTTTATTGTGCCGCGTATCTTGTGGAGTTGGTGTAGTAGTTTTTTGGCTTTGTTGGCGGTTTCTATTATGTGTTGGGTCAATCGCATATCGTCTTGGAGTATAACACCAAGGTTCCTATGTTGGTGGACCTGCTGCAGCCGAGTCGAGTGGAGCGTGATGTGGAGGGTGTGTTGGGGTTGGAAGGAAAGGACGATGGTTATCGTATGGTTGACGAGGAGATGCCAATCCTTCAACCATCGCCCTGCTGCGTCCACTGCACGTTGGAGGAATGCGGCTGATAAATCCCTTGTGTAATGTGTAACGATGAGTGCCGTGTCATCGGCGAACTGGCTTCTTTTGGTGTGAGAGTTTCTACATGCTGGGGGGGGGGGGGGGGAGGTCGATCGTGTACACCAGGAAAAGAAGAGGCCCCAGCTGGAATGGATTTCCATGATGACAAAGCGGAGCGAACCTTGACGCGTTGTCAGCGGCGAGTAAGGTAGCTTGTGAGCCAGGTAAGGGCAATGCCACGGACACCAAGGTGCTCGAGTTTGGCCAGGAGGCCAGCATGCCAGACTCGGTCCAAAGCCGTTGATAAGTCAAAGAAGCATGCGCACACTGCCTGACCGGCATCTCGGCTGGCGGAAATCTCATGCACTACGCAGGAGAGCTGTAGTTCAGTACTATCCTTAGATCAAAATCCAGATTGGTCGGCCGGTAGGTGGGGCTCAATGTGGGTGCAGAGACGTTGGTGAACCATCCTCTCCTGAACCTTGCTGACAACGCTCAGGAGCGAGATTGGCCTATAATTGGTGACCTCTGCACGTGCGGCTTTCATGTGTAGAGGACTGTTAGTGGCGTCGCACCAGTCCTGAGGCTGCTCGCCTTGCGAGAAGGACTTATTGCAAGGGAGCACGACATTTCGTCTGCAGTGATCTCGAGGAATTTCTTCAGGATGCCATCGTACCCAGCCGACTTCCGGAAATCAAGAGCGGAAAGGAGTTCTATGACCTCCTCCTGGGTGGTGATGATTTTTATTAAAAACAGACTTATATTATTATTAACTTAGAAGTTGCGACTTCGGCGGTAATAATCATGAAGTTGGTTGCTCCAACGAGGAGCACAGGGAGTGGTGCTTTCTTTCAGGTTTGCCGAGCGGAAGGTGCGACGTGCTCCTCGTGTGCTCTGGATGGCAGTCGTGAGTCAGTCAAGCGTCAAGTTCGGCAAGAAGCGTGTGCTCCTCGTTGGAGCAACCAACTTCATCATTAATATTATTATTATTATTATTATTATTATTATTATTTGAAACTCGGGTATTGAGCAAATAATAAAAGTAGAAAGGAAAAGGACATATGGAAACGAGTTAACCCTTTAAGAGCCGCCCCATACTTGAATGCGTCGTAAACGACGCATTCAAATGCAAAACTTCAAAAGCTCGTAACTCAGTCCAATCTCGCTCAAATCCAGTGATCGAAATATCCAGGGCGAAGAGAAAACTCTCACCTGTCGGGGAAAACAATCCGCGAAGCACTGCGAGCAACAGTTCCTGAGATAAATCACTCGTAAGTTGAGCCGCGATCGCGGCAATTTCAAAAGCGCGCAGTGCGACTTTAGTATTGAGAATTTTGAGACTTTCCGTCACGCTGGTTAACTCGAATTTGCACGGGTTTCACTGTTGATATTGTCAAGAGTACACAGCGAAAAATTTGGAACTCCACGATCGAGTAAAATGAAATATCTGGAGCGGGACGCAATTGGACGCATTTGGGGCATTTTTCGTACTGTCGCTGCGATCTAGCGCTGGATAGACGGTGTGCTGGCTATCATGATCGACCTTATTCTCTTCCTCTCGCAGAGACCGTTCCAGGAAGCCCTAGATTGTGAGGATTGAGTGAGTAGAACTGAAGCTATGATCCAAGGAATACGAAAAAAAGCAGAATTTTGAAATTTTCCTGTGGCTCTTAAAGGGTTAAGAGTAACTCTCCACCACTGTAACTAGATACTATATACAGTCAGAAAGTGCAACAACTAGGCACAACACTTTTTAATGCTTAGTTGTTGCACTTTCTGACTGTATAATAATAGTACTTCCTCCGTTATGCAAAACTTCGCTGCGTTTTTACAGTTCTATTCAAATTATTCTATGGCTACGAACACGCTTTGCAAAGTGGAAAACAAGGCAGCATATGAAAGATATTTATTTACAGATGTTACACAGCTCATTTCAAAGCAGTCCAGCTTCACTCTTCGTCTGAATCCGATGACGACTCACTCCCTGATGACATCGAGTCTGCATCCTCGCTGACTGTAGTCGCCAGCGCTGCCAGCTTTTGTTACGCAACCTTTAGAAGTTTCCAAGACGTGATTTATTTTGATCGTGGAGATCGCCAAGTTCTTCGCTCGAACTGTGACCTTGATGACCTCCACGGTGGCGCTGATAGATGTGGCCACTCTCCGGACCGCCATGGAAGGAGCCATACAGACCCAAACAAACGCTCGCCATTTTTGCAGCAGTGTGTCGTGCCAGCACGTTTCCACACCCAACAGAAGCTCCTTTCTGGGTTACTTCACCACACGTCTGTCTACAGGCTGTGGAAGAACGCCAAGTCGTCGACGTTGAGATCAGGATTTTGTGCCGACTGAACGACAACCTGAGAGTCGAACGCTTTTGATTTCCCCTGCGCTGCAAACACAAGTGCATTGATTTTGGTTGTGTGCGGATGCGCACCATCGACTCGTGCTAGTACTCGTACAGCAGTGCCTGAGTGCTGGCCGGCTCCTGGACACTTCTTCGAGCCAAGCGATCTTTCAAACTGTTTCTCATTTTCGCACTTTGGTGTCATGCGCGCACGCCTGGGGTTGTGTTCTGGTGACATCCTGTCGAGAAACGGTTCTGCTTCGCCAATTTTTCACAGGACTCCACGCTTTTCAGAGGTTCAAAAGCCTGTCAGAACAATGGACGACAACTCAGCTACTCTATGTCGGGGATAGATCACTGACATGTATGTCTAATGCCGACAGAAATACCATGACAAGAACACTAAAAACGCAACGAAGTTTTGCTTAACGGAGGAAGTATCTAGTTGCGGTGGTGGAGAGTTACTCGTTTCCATATGTCCTTTTCCTTTCTACTATTATTTTTATTATTATTATTATTATTTGAAACTCGGATGTTGAACCATAAATAAATTTAGAAAGGAAAGGGACATTATGGATACGAGTTTTAAAAATAACTCTCCATCACTGTAACTGGATACTATATACAGTCAGGAAGTGCAATAACTAGGCACAAAACTGACAAGAGTACTGAGACATTCGACGTCCTGACACCTAGCTTCAACACATCTCCGTAGCGCTAACCGACAGCCTTCCAACTTGGAAGGTTCCAGTTATGGAAAGACCAAAGAGGGGAAGGCAAGCGCAACGAAAACGAGCAAAAGCTACAGTCCCAACGGAACAAAGAATGTCGATTGTTACTGGATTATTATTATTATTATTATTATTATGGCACTCCAGCGGTCTGCGTAGTAGTTTTATGCCAGATACAGGCTTACACCAAGAAGTTGGCTAGCAGGGCATTTCATGATCCATTGTTTATTGCCTTCCCGGGTTAATTTCCATCTAGCTGTTTGTGGCTAGTATCGCATTTATCAATCTTCCGCGCTGGCGAAACACCATTGCATCACGCCAGGGAGTGATTAGACGAGCTACTTACCGACAACATGAAGATAATAGGTGTCTGGTGCTTTAGCGCTTGGCATTGTACACTCGTACAATCCGGTGTGGCTTGCTTTCAGAGTGGGGTGCGATTCATGAGGCCAATGGATAATGAATGGTGTAGAAAGATCTCCGATTTGTATATCACGATAAGCCAGAACGGCGCTGGTGTTAACATTGGTGAGTTTACAGGGTCCGAGATACCCTCGAACAAAGCAGCTGGGTAAGTAGGTTCGTCCAAGCTCAAATGTGTTCTGCCCACTAAGGAAGTAAGCTGTGTGTGAATTCCATTGGTTTATCCCAACTGCCCCCAATGCTAACATTGTATCTGTAGCGACATACGCACTCACACACAAACACAAACACACACATACACATACATACACGCGCACACACAAACACAAACACACACATACACGCACACACAGCGATCAGATTGAGGCAATTTTACTCACGGAAAGAAGTTACCATCTCAACTGGAAAAAAACCCTTCTGGTAATAAACTCTGTACTTGTCCAGGCTGATACAAAGGTAAACCAAAAGACTACAATATAAATTGCACATAACCCACAAGATGCTATTCATAGGTTGAAGAAAAGGAAAAAGGGAAAAGTCTGAAGGAAAAAATGACTAACAGTTAAAACCACCAGGACTCGAACCAGGGATCTTCGCTTGAGGCCAGGGATGCTCTACCGACTGAGGTATGGTGTAGCTGTGATCCCAGCTGACACCGTCCAAAACATTCTCTTCAAAAATGTCACTGTTCTGTTACCTGAGCCCTTTATGGCTTGTACTTACGAACTTCAACCACGAGCGGTCGATGACGCTTGCGTGCACAGCGCTGGAATGCTTCGCCACATTGTGCTGGGATTTTCTTGTAAGTAGCGGGGATATAAATGCATGTCATACTAACGTGTTTTACGTGTGGTCCTATCAGGGCTGCCACTTGCTCCGATTTTTCGGAAATCATCCGATTTTTGATCGCCTGTCCGACAAACCGACCGATTTTGTTCCCAAAGAGGGACAACCGATTATTTTATTTTGAGCGCTTTTTAGTCCAGTTGGCCATTCGGCGCTTCCAGGTCGAGTTTGGCCAGTCATTGTACATGTAAATGTAGCTGTAGAATGGACGCGTGCTTGCATGTGTGTGGACAGTTAAAAATGTGTTCTGGGGCCCCAACAGCAAACCATTTTCCTAGAGAAAATTCACCCGGGGACACCCCCGGACCCCCCCCCCCCTCCGATTTTTAGCCCTCCGAGTGTGGCAGCCCTGTCCTATAAAACAAATTTCTCGACAGTCGCGACTTGAAAGATGCCCTTCGCGAAATGTGTGTCTGCCCTGTTGTCAAAGCCATGGGTGGAGCACAAGCGTTCAGGCTGTTGGAGACCCTTCCTATAGCCGCCAGTTCAAGCGAAGACGAGTTTCTTGAGCAGACTAATTCTTGCGATGATTTTTTTCCTGACGACGAGAGCAGTGATCAGTTTTGGATTTTCAGTTGTTTTATCGTATTACTGGGGTCTTTCACTCTCAGGATCACCCAATGCTCTACATACAAAAGGTCAATAGCAAAAACAGTTAGAGCATGATCAGCAATGCCTGCTGTTCACTGTATAAACACCTAAAGCAGTATGGGTCTACCCATCAGGTTATGCTCAGTCCTCAAAGATAGGCATGTGCTTCTAGGTGGAAGTATTCTTGGATGCATCTCGTTGCACCCTTTCGGCTTAGGAAAAACTATTACGCAGCGAATGCGACCAAAATGAACAAGGCAAGCGGGAAGGACGGACGGCCAGAGTTTACGGGTGCGAAAGATGGCCAGTGTCAACATCCGGAAAAGGAAGGGACAATTGACGATCCTCGCGATGTAATAATATATCTATGGGCTATTGAATTTCATCACATCAGTGCAAGATTTCACCATGTCAGCGCTGCAACCTCGTACAGTCGTGAAAGGCGAGCAAATTACTGCTTTTTCACGAGGTCGCTGGCATGAATGGAGTGCGCGTGCGAATGCCGCTCTTGTTTTCACGGCGGGTTTACCGTCAAACCCGTTCACGCCAAACACGCCCCTATGAATGCGCCGTTTGGAAGTTGACTTTTCGCACGTACGTGTTGCCAGGTCAGCTAGCTCTTAGCGGATAAATCCGGCAGAAACCTTGGCAGAATGTGACACTTGATCCTGGCATGTTTCAAGCATGTTCGGTATATGCATAAAGAAAGGGAGCAGATTTCAAGGAAGTGTCCGCAAGGAAGTGTCCGCCATGATGGATTGTATGCTTCTGCCAGTTTTAATGCTTTTCAAGCACAATCTGCCCATTTTTATTTATTTAGAGACTTAGTCGGAGGGAACGTATCAGCACACGAAGAGACGAAGCTAGTTGTAAATCTGATAAGGCCTATCATTCAGCCTGTGTTCGTTTCATCACAATTGTTCCGCCAATATGCTGTATAAATTGACATGGTTGTGTTTCGTCACATTATCACCATGTACTGATTTTGAAGAGTAATGGTACCAAAGGCCTCATCAGATTTTCAACTAGCTTCGTCTCTTCGTGTGCTGGTTTATTTATTTATTTTTGCACCTCGTGGCATGTCAAGACAGCCAATTGAATTGAGGAGAGGGTGGGACCAACCAAGGAAGAAGAGAAAAAAGAAAATGAAGAGCACGTACACGACTTGCCGAGAAACCTTTGTAAAGTGCCTAGTGTTGCCAGATTTTCTATATGCATCAAATTGTTTTTCTGCTGGCCTTTCCTTAACCCAGTTAGGTAGGCTTGAACGAATGCTAAAGCGAGCTTTGCGTTCAGTGTACGATACTGGTTTTTGTAGCCCATCAAGCCCTTTATTTGCGAGACTTGGTCTAGATCGTTTGGCATCCATGTATTGCAAGAAATTACTGTATCTGACGTGGTGCTGTTTGGAAGGCCGCTGTAGTGTCACATTAAGTCAAATGTTCGAGCGTTTAAATAATGGTCTTGCAACGCGCAGCCTTGTATCACGCACTCTTAAGTTGGCCATCCTCAGAACTGCGTTTGCCCGTCATGGCGCTTCCTTCCAATGTGCTAAGCTGTGGAATGATTTACACCCTCTAGCTCGCTGTGTGGATAACTCCACCCGTTTTAAGAAAATGTTACCCCAATGCCTTGCTTTTTCACGCTAGTACTTAGGCCACACGTTTTTATTTCTATGTTTCTCGTCACCCGCGCGCATACGATTCAGGAGTCTGGAAGAAAAGAAAGAAAGAAAAAAACTGTTCATGTGGGGACCAGCACACTCATGCACATGTACATAATGTGGCCTGGCCTGCGCGACACATGATGCAAGGACGGCATTTTTGTGCGCAATCTAGCTGCATGTGCACAGATTGTGACAGAAGCTCCTACCACATACTAGTTGCTAACCATGGATGCTATTTTGCATGGTGTATTGGTGGATTTTAGTGTGAACAAAGGTCTAATAAACCTTTTTATTTTTCAGTCCTTTTTTATTTTTTTCCACCTCTCGCATACATTTTTAGAATTTCAGGTGACGAGAAACATAGAAATAAAAACGTGTGGCCTTATGACTTTCAGCTATGCAAAATGCGAACATGATCACCTATCCAATACCGGTACTGTAAATCATGAATATGTAACGAACAAGTAAATCTAACGAGTTAACGAGAAAAGATTTGTCGTTATTTTAAAATTCGTTAGCAAAAGTCGTATGATTTGGGCCTCGCAAGATTGAAATCGATCATTTCACATTATGGCATGCAGCGCGTGTTCAACGGATTGTAACTCGGTCAATTCTCGACGGAATTCAACAATCGAAAGATTTAGATGATAGCAGAGACGCTCAGCAGTCGGCTCGAACAACTCCGAAGTCTCTCAGATGACTTTTGACGAAGCGGCAGGAGATCGACAAATTTGAATTTTTTACGCTCTTACGCTGGAAAAATTTCATTTTCTTTATTCTCCTGACATCGAGGTATACTGTCATGGACTACAATGAATGTTCTTGATGAGCATTCCTAGTATTATTGCATCTGTCTGAGAAAATCGTTAACTTTTCAAACCGTTAACCTTCGAAAATCAGAAAATCGTTAACTTTGCGGTCGTTAAAATAATATGATTTACAGTTTTCTATTATATTAATTATTCATATCTTTTTGCATCTTTCCCTCGAGTGAGTCTATTGTTATTACGCAATTGTCTGTTATAGTCACCACTATAAATAAAAATCCAATCCAAAAAAATCCAAAACGTACCCAAAGTGGGAAGGGATTAGCAACTTACAAAGCAATGGGATTTGCTGACCACTGTCCACCAGAGGCTATTTATAAATTGCAGGTACGTTGTGCCCACCCTCTGCTATCAATACAGGCCACCGCTGCAAGCCCTCAGCACCCCCCCCCCCCCCTGGTATCAATACAGGCCACCACTGCAAGCCCATAGCACCCCCAAGCTACACTTACTGGCCTGACTGTATGCTTGACGGCAGCACAACAATAGGACGACGGCGGAACAGAGCTGCAGTACTGTAGTACATTCGGGGACACACAGGACAACATGACAAGAAGAGGACTTTGTTGAACGTCACTTCTCATCGATTTCAGTCATCTTTGCGAGTGACGACATTCAAATGGCGGCAGGCAGAAACATGTCCCTTCTAAGAAATTGTCTCTCTTCACGAATCCCCAATTTAAAGCAAATGGATGTTTGAAATCTGCTTTTCTCACAATGGCATGTGGGAGAAAAAGAATTACAGGCAAGGGGATTAGATAAAGAGAACTCAAAGTTTAGCTGCTTGTTGAAATAGTAGCAATGGTGATAAAGAGTGATTTTGGGGTGGACACACATGACCGACTGTGATGATCAATGATTTCATTTCATTTATCTTATTTTATTTTTTATTATTTTATTTTTCTAAGAAAGAGCTTTGCTGATGTGGTGTATTGGAACTCATGTGAAATCTACACTTTGATTGTTTTCGTCATATCATATCTTCTCTTTTCTCTCTCTGCCGCGGTCCTTTTTGTTACTCTATTGTCGTGAGTTCCCTTTGGAACGTAGACGAGAATTATTATTATTGTTGTTATTATTCCCGTTTGTCTCTTTCCGTCAAACCAGTTAATATTTTATGACTTGGGGCTCCCCGCGTGCTAGTTTGTACGTGAAGTGTGTGGGTTACAGTGAGGGCTGCGTCCCACCCGCCTGTGTGGATTCACAGGAAGTGTGAGTTACAAAGTCTGAAGAAAATATTGAACGGCCTCTGCTGGGATGACGACTACACCATAGCTCAGTGGTTAGAGCATCGCTGTCTACAAGCGAGGGTCCCTGGTTCGAGTCCTGGTGGTGACAGTCAATTTTTTCTTCAGACTTTTCCCGTTTGTCTCTTTCCCTCAAACCAGTTAATATTTTATGACTTGGGGCTCCCCGCATGCTAGTTTGTACGTGAAGTGTGTGGGTTACAGTGAGGGCTGCGTCCCACCCGCCTGTGTGGATTCACAGGAAGTGTGAGTTACAAAGTCTGAAGAAAATATTGAACGGCCTCTGCTGGGATGACGACTACACCATAGCTCAGTGGTTAGAGCATCGCTGGCTACAAGCGAGGGTCCCTGGTTCGAGTCCTGGTGGTGACAGTCAATTTTTTCTTCAGACTTTTCCCGTTTGTCTCTTTCCCTCAAACCAGTTAATATTTTATGACTTGGGGCTCCCCGCATGCTAGTTTGTACGTGAAGTGTGTGGGTTACAGTGAGGGCTGCGTCCCACCCGCCTGTGTGGATTCACAGGAAGTGTGAGTTACAAAGTCTGAAGAAAATATTGAACGGCCTCTGCTGGGATGACGACTACACCATAGCTCAGTGGTTAGAGCATCGCTGGCTACAAGCGAGGGTCCCTGGTTCGAGTCCTGGTGGTGACAGTCAAATTTTTTCTTCAGACTTTTCCCGTTTGTCTCTTTCCCTCAAACCAGTTAATATTGTTATTATTATTATTATTATATAGGCTGGGCACAATAGGACTATATGTGGTGAGAAATCATGTGAGCAGGTTCATACGGAAGAGACAAGAGGTAGGCATCCGTAGGATGTTTGCTTTGAAATCTCGTCTGGGATTGTTTTGCCGGCGGGGGGGGGGGGGGGGGGGGATGTAAATCTGGTGTTGATTATTATGACATGTGTATGTCTAAAATGAATGACTTTCCAAGGTCAATATCAATGCACACTTTGAGCAACCTGCCAATTAGAAGCAAAATGAAAAAAATATATTAGGGAATTGAAGTAAAAATTCCATTTGCAGCAAGGAAAGGTGGCTTCATCTATACCAGCATTCGTGTTGATCAATCTGACAATGTACTCTAGACATGCTACAGTCCCACCTCTAAGACAAACACCAATGGACTAATGGTATTTGTTCGCAATACTGGGAGTTATTTTTGCCCATTTCGTATCCGAAATCAATACACAGTGATATTTTTTTTCCGTTGCTATCAGGTTCGGCCTCATTTCCTCTGTGCTGCGCTGATGAGTTCAAAAAGAACGAAACAGCATGCTGTCCGCAGATTGAGTGATATATATATATTCAATCGTGTTGTGGATAGTTTCGGGGAATTCATCCCTCATCAGTTGAGCTTGAGTAGGCTGAGGAAGATTGTGCCTGAAGAGCACCACTCATATAGTCCTCTCCAGGCACAAATATCACCAGGGATACAAATTTACAGGGATGCTACGTTTCCAGGGCGACAAATACCTCTTGAACACCAGATAGCAGCGTGAGTCAGTGTCGCTCCCGGACGGTGAGGACAGACGTTGAGGACTCGAGACTCAAGCTAAACTGATGAGGGGTGAATTCCGCAAAACACTGTGTATTGAGCAGGGAGTGATGCTTTCTTGCAGGTTTGCCGAGTGGACGGTTCAATGGACTTCTTGTGTGCTCTGGATGGCAGTCGTGAGTCAGTCAAGTGTCAAGTCAAGTCGGCAGAATAGCGCGAGCTCCAGTGTGGGGAGCAAACCCTTTTCTAGCAAATCATCGCTGAAGTCGCAACCACTATTATGTACTGCTGTGGATACTAGGTTTTGTAAAGAAAAAGTTTGTCTCGTCAGTCCTATTATTAATGAAGCTTCATTTGACCATGCGGTTACTCACTGGCATGCATACTGAGTTATAATAGCGGGTTTTAGCATCCATTTGGTGTATGCACACTTTTGAAGCCAAACCAAGAACACAGTCCATTCTTCTGGCAAAATGGCAGCTCTCAACAGCTCCCTACCTTAGACCTACAGCTTCGTTGTGGACGTCTAACCAAGAGCCGAGGGTTTTTGTCGATTGTGCAATAGAATTGTGGCAAAGACCGTGAAGGTGCTTGAAGAGCCCAGAACGTCCTTATTCCAGGAATGATATTGACATTTGGCCATGGAATTCATGTTGCTCCATGCACTTAGAAATTGAACTTACTCTGTCAGTTGTGTTCACGGACATTTTGAAAAGGCGTTGATGACCCTTGGTGATACATGATTCTCTCACTTCTCAGGCCTCTAACACTGAGGTCTGGGAGGTAACGCATGCTTAGATCTGATGTACAAGAGCTGAAACGGACCGTCTCATGGCCAGCAATCGAGGACATCTAATAATTTGGACCAGTTGAATTTGGAAAAAATCGAACTTAGGAAAAAGATATTTAAAAAATCATTATTTGCCACATCAGTGAAAGCGCTCATTAGCTCGCTCGAAAGCTTGCTCGTTAGTGGAACTGATCGCTCATTTGTTATAGATATGCTCGTTTCAGTACCACTGTGTAGGCACTCCTGCCAACGCCGTCTGCTCAGAGCTTCCACGCTGTCACCCCTATCATTTTGCTCTTCCTCATAGTTCTCTGCCTATAATCTCAGCATTCTATTTATACAACAACCGCGCACATTCAAACACTGCAGTCTACCCGATCATTTCATTCCCGGCCCATTAGCAGCACACCCAAAAACATTCGAACGTTAATGAGATAATGTGACACCGAAACCTTGGTGACCTAGGCAAAAAAGCAAAGCAATCTTTCATTTCTCCAATTTTTTCGAGACATAACGTGCATGAATTCCCGCGACACACTTCGCATACATACACACTCTTCCAAGTTGCTTCACGCTATGATCTTGCAGTTGAAAGCCCTATTTGAGTAAGTTGCCAATTGTCTTTGATGGTACCGTACAGTGCATGTACAGGATGGCGCCAGGCATGCCGTCATCAGCAACAAACACCGAATAGCTGTGTGGACCTCGGCTAGCGCCGGACTATACTGTCGTAACGTCTTTTGCATAGTTACGAGAGTAACTGTAGTGCACTGCTGGAACAGCCCTGTTCATACCACCAAGAGTACATAACCCCAAGAGTGTGCAACTCCAGCTATGGGGTCTGCGACGGCAGAACTTCACATCACGTGATGAACCCGTGCACTCTGTGCATGATAGATACTGGGTTGTACACAGCCCAGCTTTGGGTACAACTCTCTTGTGGTCACTTTGCACTGTTTGCCAGCATAACCTTTTGAACCATGTCACGTGATGTGAAGTTCTGCCATCGCAGCACAGCATAGAGGTTGTGCAGGCAGTTGCACACTTTTGGGGTTATGTACTCTTGATACCACTCACTAAACTGATAAGGAGTGTATTCTCCAAAATACTGGGTATGGAGTAAGGAATGGAATGTTGAACAGTCTCTGCTGGGATGCCGACTACACCATAGCTCAGTGGTTAGAGCATCGCTAGCTACAAGCGAGGGTCCCTGGTGGTGAGAGTCAATTTTTCCTTCAGACTTTTCCCGTTTGTGTCTTTCCCTCAAACTAGTGAAGAATGGTGCTTTCTTTCAAGTTTTCCATGTTGAACATTCCTTGCAATTCTCGTGTGCTCTGCATGACTGTCGTGAGTGACTCAATTGTTGAGTGGTGTCGGCGGGAAAATGTGGGGAACAACCGAATTCCTTATGAAAGTCTCCTCAAAGTCGCAAACAGTTTTTCGTTCACATATATTTCTGGTATTCTGAGTGTGGTCTTGTAACAATAATGGTATGGTTGTAATACAGCACTCTACAGGACAATGGTTAAGGTGAGTGCGCGCTTATTGTTTTTGAGACCATTGAGAAGAAAGGCTTTGATGACATCTTCACTACAAATAAGGCCAGAAGGGGGAAGCCTAAACTCTTTGATTTATTCTGCAAAGCCATCCAGGTTCTTCACTACAAATAAGGCCAGAAGGGGGAAGCCTAAACTCTTTGATTTATTCTGCAAAGCCATCCAGGTTCTGGTTTCCCATAAGACCTTACCTGCTGAATGGGTGGACACGACCATTGTGAAATGTTTCATACTAGAGTCGACTGACTAGGCAGCAACCTGGAAAATGATGACTGAATCCTGAAGGAATCCACAAAAGTCTACACATGGACATGCAAAGAACATTCATACCCACCGCACATATCACATACACACAGAAACACACGCGCGAGAGTGTGCATGCAGCCACATGAAAACATGTACACACACACACACACACACACACACACACACACACACGGACACACACATGCACACACACACACACACACGTGCACACACACACGTGCACACACACACACGTCCACACACACACACGTGCACACACACACAAACACACGCACACACACACACACTCGTATTGCGGTTTCTTTAGAAGTTTATCTCTGGCACACTTTTCATCATTTATTATCCCAGTTCTGCATGCTTACATATGTTCAAGCGCAGAGCTCCGCTGTAAACTACATGTACTTATTTTCTCCTTTCTTTGCTCAGCTATTGCTCAGCTATTGCTCAGCTATTGCTCAGCTATTGCTCAGCTATGCTCAGCTAATGCTCATCATTTTTTATAAGTATTATAGCCTTTTTCTCCAAGCCCTTCCTGCAAGGATCAACTCCTGGATCTCGACCGAGAGGAAGGCCCGCGACATCATGGATTTCTAACATTAAAAGTTGGACGGGTCTTCCCTTGCATGCTCTCTCTCTCATGCAGCACACGATAGAGTTGGATTCAGAGACATCATTCACAATTCTCTCGCTGATTAATGCCTCTACGATCACCTTGTGATTATGAGCTATACATACATGCAAACATACATTATAGCCTTGGTCTTATGGAAACCCCCTCGATGGGTGAAAGCCTTCATGGAATCCCTAGATGATAACGACTACAAAACCACACACATGCACGCACACACGCACACGCACGCACACACACACACACACACACACACACACACACACACACACACACATACACATCAATGCACACACATACACACACACACACATACACACACACGCATACATGCACACACATGTACACACCATAGGGCTTGAAAGTGATGACGTCAAAACGGCCAGGGAGTAGTAAGTTGACATCAGATTTCTATTTTTGGATCCACTAAGGTGTGACTTTGCTATTGCCTAAGTATGTGGGTGCATAGCAACCCACTCATGTCGCATGCAGGTGTGACTTTTATTTCGCCACCAGTTGTAACCCCGCCCCCACTAGCCAAATCAGTCAGTTTCACTCGCTACATCACCATGCTGTGGGTAAGACCGCTTGAAATGTGCTTGGATCCATACAAAAACTGGATCCAAATGGATCCAGTTTTTGAATTTTTGAAATTGTTGCTATGCTGTGACGTAGCACTTTCAAGCAGTATTGGACGCCCATCGCCGGAGGCGATGATAGCGATGCTACAGCAGAAACCATGGCAGCTTGTGCTGGGATTGCCCCATTCAACAGCACACACACACACACACACACACACACACACACACACACACACACACACACGCATACATGCACACACATGTACACACACATACACACACACACACACACACACATACACACACATACACACACACACACACACACATACACACACACACACACACACACACACACACACACACACGCACACACACACACACATACACACACACACACACACACACACACACACTGTACTTTGTCGCGGAAAAGCAGTTTAGAGCTCCGTTGCTTTGAGTGAAATGAGGTCTGCTCCCACCTCATACTTATGTGCATTCGCAGACTGCCGCTAGTACCTAGCAATGGCGATCCTACTGCTTCTCTTGCTCACCTCACAAAGATTCACCTAGGGCTCCCTGTAACAAGGCCATGCCTGTTGGGACTCCCCTAGTCAAATAATAAAATAATACTACTACTACTACCAAGAGTACATAACCCCCCAGAGTGTGCAACTCCCACATACCCTGTTGTCCCGACAGAATTTCAAGTTGACGTCATTATGTATGACGCAATGCTCCTTGCAGCAGTGATTTACAACATGTGTACGGGTGTCAACGCATCACACGTTTTTCTTTGCAATAATTTGTACAGGATCGATCGGCTTCGGTCAACCACAGGTTCCGGATTCGTCTGATAATCCGTGTACAGTGCGCATTGCATCATCAAAATGACGTCAACTTGAAATTCTGTCGGGACAGCACCCATAGTGGAGTTGCACACTCTGGGGGGTTATGTACTCTTGCTACTACCAGTGCCACTACTCTCTAAATATATGCTCAAGGTGATCGATGAAAATGGAGCCAACACGGATGCCTGGACACATCTCTAGCCTAAAGCACTCATTGCTTACAGTGCGGACTTACCGTCGAATCGTACGAAACTGAGCGAATACTTTCGTGCTCACTGACGTTCTCTGTTTTCGCTTTGCTGCGGCGTCGCGATACCCTCCACCTGCTGCAAGTTCACGACGCCGTATCAGGCGGGGTTCGGATGCAGCAAGTACTCGGTGAAAAGGCAAAGTACCTTACAAGATACGGAAAACGCGAATACACTGGCTTTGAATTTGCCACCGTATATTAACTCTGGGAGCAGTACAATACCTGGTTAGAACTGAAGTCATCCTTTGTATTTTCATGACAGTTTATTTATGACAATAATTTTGCCCAAGCTTAGAACCTAGTTGGAACAATCAACTTCATAATTTTGCCCGTTATCAAAGAGGCTTCGAAGCTTCGTACAACAACAAAAAAAGTTAGAACTGAAACCTGGTACGCGTATCCCGTGTTTGGGCGCAGCGGTACGCGGTAGGCTCCATCGAGTTCCTTGAGGCCTTGTCTTGTGCGATGGCAAGGCGTACGCGTGCTGGCTAGGCTATAAAAATGCATTCTGTACATGTGGCCAGACCTGCCACATCGCGCGCACGCGCACCGACCAAAACCGTGGCAGTACCACAAACACAGAACGCACACAGAGCACATTGGGCATAACAGGCCGTCCCAAAAACGGGACGTCGGAGATGACCGGCGCCGCTTCTGGCTCTCACCGTAGTCTACGGCTAGGCTAGGCTGCCTCGGGAATAGCATACATGCACCGAGACAAAGAATGCGCGGAGTGTTCGAACGATCCATCAGTGTGTGGGCGATAAACCTTTCTTCCCGAATTCAAACATCCCATCATATCTGCCAGTATTTCCCCCTACAATCTAATTTACTGTATAAATGCTATGTCCGTCCATTTCTTGAATATGCTGTTCCCATATGGATGTTTTCCCTTAGTGTAACACTGTCAGCGACGCTTGACATAATTGCAGGCTGTGTGTAGCTGCAAGAGCATACCTCAATAGTAAACGGAAGCGTCGGCCTGACTGGTCCACGCCCAAGGATACACTTTAAAAATGAACTTTCTTCCTGGGAATCACTTGTATGGCGTCGGCAAATGTTTGGCCTTGCTTACTTCCACCATGTTTTTTTTCCAATACCCATCATTGTTGCAACATTTCTCTTTCTCGGTATCCCGTAGTAGTCGCCATCCATCTTCCATAATTCTCCCTTAACATACTTCACTCAATCCCCTCTATTTTGTCTCAGTGTTGGCTGGAATAAAATGCCAGAAGAAATCCGCTGCCTGACATCAGCTAGCCGATTTTCTCTTGCTGTGCGTAGACACAATCTGCACCACAAGTATTCTGTGCAAGGTATACCAAATTTTTGCAAGTAGCTTCTGCTGTTCCTGTTTGTATTATCTTTATTTTCTCACTTTGTCATGTCCCTTCTTCCCTCTCTCGTGACAGCCACCTTCACTTCCTTTCCCCAGGAGACTCCCTTTGTTAGGCATCCTTGGAGAATCCTTGAAAATATATTGTCAATAATTCTCAATCTGCGGACAGCATGCTGTTTCGTTCTTTGTGAACTCATCAGCGCGGCGTAACACAGAGAAAATGAGGCCGAACCTGACAGCAATGAAAATAAAATTTCCAAAGCCAGATTTAAACCAGGCCCGAACGAACCTTGCCAGAGTGCTCAAGCTTTCAAGTCAGTGAGCTCTGCGTAATGCAACCAGCAAAGGCACTACCCCACATGTGAGTGCTCAACTACTACAAGAGGTTTCTGCCTAGTTGTTGCACTTTCGGACTGTATTATTATAATTTATTATTATTATTGTACCTGGTTACAGTGATGGAGAGTTACTCTTAACTCGTATCGATAATGTCCTTTTCCTTCCTACAAAGGCAGAAGAGAACAGAGCCAGCCGGCTAGGTCATTGTTGTAACGCTGCGTTTCGTGCACTTAGCAAAGCCCGCCCTGCCCGCCGTCACTGTAACTTGACTGTCACCCCTCCTTCTCTCTCTCCTTTATTTTACCTCCAATGTAATAACCGACACCATCCGCACCATGTCTCACTAACTTATCACTTGAAATGTCACACTATTGCCGCGCTTTTGCCACCTTTGCGCGCTTTACTCACTTTGCGCGCCCTGTTTTAGCTACCTGCCTGGGTATAAATTTGGACCCAAATGATGTACAGGTTATCAGTTGTCTGAGGATTGCCTTAGCTTCGCTGTGTGCATGAAACGCAGCGTTACAACAATGACCTAGCCGGCTGCCTCTGTTCTCTTCTGCCTTTGTGGTACTGCTCCATCCTTGTGGTTTTGAGCACTCTAGGCAATCTGGGGACTCTCGCTGTTGTCCTTTTCCTTTCTACTTTTATTTTTGGCTCAACATCCGAGTTTCAAATTACATAATATTATGTAAGGCCGAGTAAAAAAAATTACTAGATGATCGTCCTTTTTTTTGGAAAAATCGGGGAGGGCGGGAGGATTTTATTTTTATTTTTTTACTTTTTACCCTCTCATGCACACAGTGTACACAACAACATCAAGGTTTTTTTTCTCTTTTTTTCTTTTTTTTTCTTTTTTTCTTTTTCTTTCTTCAGCAGATCGATACTGACGTTGTGATATACTAGTAGTAGGGAGGTTTAGTCCCACGTAATCCGTGGGTACTTTACGTGGGTGTACCACGTGATACTCAGTGACCCACGTACAGACGTTTTCTGATTCACGACATACCGTGTATGGAGGCTCACCCACGT